CCCGGCTATCACCTTAACCTTTTTAAGTGGCTTCCCTAATAAAGCTTTTAGAGAACAGCTCAAAGGGATCTTTATATTCCCACATTTAATTCACATTAAGTAGAAGACAATTAAACCTGAGACAGCAGAACCTGTACAGAGCCTATTAGAACAAAAGAGGTTTACACATGGGGCCTTCTGGAAAAGGTAGCACTAACAGTGACACCTAAGACAATGGTGCAGACAAAATTCGCAGTTACTCAGATATCTGGGAAGGAGGGAAAGAGGCCAGAATTATATTCTGGTGTGACTTGTTTCATTATAGAAGAGCTGTCTGTTCTGGATTTGGGAAAGATGGCATTTTAATTTATTATTAATATCGGGGTTTTTCTTTAGTTTTTTTGAGACAGGGTCTTACTCTGTAGTTGAGGCTGGCCTTGAACTCACTATGTAGCCCAGGCTGGCCTTGAACTCACAAGAGTCCTCCTGCCTCAGCCTCCCAAGTGCTGGGATTACAAGTGTGCACCACCACACCTGCCTATTATTCACTATTATTATTATTATTTTCATTATTATTATTACAACGGTGAGGCACAAACCTAGGGTCTCATGCACACTATGCAAGCATTCTACTACCAAGCTCCATCTCTAGTCTCTAGCAGATTTTTACTATTGCAACATTCTTCCCCAAACAATACTCTGCCTCTAGCACATCTAAATCAAACAGAATGAGAAGCCTGGGGGCCTTCAGCTCTTCCAGTGGAAATGCAATTTGTCAAAAGAAATGCAATCTGTCTCACAAAGCTAGGGTTGGGGAGAGGTCTCCTTCTTCTTTGTAGAATCAAATATAATGTTCTGTATCTCCATTCTGCTGAACTGGCAGGTCATTTGGTGTCAGTGGTTCCCTGAGGGTGCTGCAAAAGTCCTGGACAGATGCCAAAGCTCCTCCGTGAGCAGCCTCTGTGCTCCCATCCATATCTTACTCTACAAGGTGGAGGAGTCTTTCCTGAAGATAAGCATTCGAGGCTGTACATTTTCCTGTGTACTGGATTAGCTGTGGTGCACAAGTTTGTTTTTTTTTGTTTTTGTTTTTGTTTTTCTGGTACCGGGAATTGAACTCATGACCTTGTGCTTGCCAGGCAGGCGCTGTGCCGCTGAGCTAAATCCCCAGCCCCGGTCCACAAGTTTTTATCTGTGCTGTCTTCATTATCATGCAGGTAGGTCTAAGTTCTTTTTGTTTGGCTCTTACTTAAACCTTAGGTTGTTCTCACATATTGTAGTCTGTATGGTTCTGATGTGTTTGTACTGGAGACTTTGTAAATATTATAACTATGCAAACAATATTAGGAAATGCTCCAAGTGTGCTTGAGAAAAATTTATATTCTTTCACTGTTGAATATTTATGGTTTTTTGTTTGTTTGTTTGTTTGGTGAGTTTAGTTTTTCTTGAGACAGGATCTCACTATATAGGTCAGGATTGCCTTGAGCTTGAGGTAATTCTCCTACCTCAGCTTCTCCTGAGTGCTGGATTTACAGGTGTGTGCCACCATGCCTGGCATCACTTCTAAATATTTTTAAATATACACTAAAATCAAGCCTATATATTCCAAATATTAAAGTACGAAAAGAAAAAAGCAGTTAACTTTACAATGGAGAAGTCTGGCAGTCAACACTTAATCAAGTGATCAAATTTAGCCAGACGTGGTGGTGCACACCTAATCCCAGCATTTGGGAGGCTGAGGCAGGATGATTGCCGTGAGTTCAAGGCCAGCCTGGTCTACATAGCAAGTTCAAAGACAGCCTGAACTACATAGTGAAACCTTGTATCAAAAAAAATTTTTTTAAATGTCACTGGTGATGAGTCACAGTGCTTTCAAGTAGCTGCTGCTATGCTGTGGTGAGGTACTTAGCCTCTGAGAATTATTCCCCCAAACCCATACTCTCCAGTGTAATCAAGAGGAAAACATCAGAAAAACCAAAACTGAGAGATCTATTAAAAATACCTTACCAGGGGCTGGGGATTTAGCTCAGTGGCACAGCGCCTGCCTGACAAGTGCAAGGTCATGAGTTTGATTCCCAGTACCAGAAAAAAAATAAAATAAAAAAAATAAAAATATCTTACCAATGTTCTTTAAAACTATCAAAGTTGCCAGGTATAGTGGCATATATTTAATCCCAGCACTCAGAAGGCTGAGGCAGGAGGATCACTTTGAATTTGAGGCCAGCCTGGGCTACATAGGGAGTTCAAGCCCAGGCTGAACTACACAGTGAGACCCTGTCTCAATGAATGAATGAATGAATGAATGAATAAGGAAAATGAAGGCAGAGTCTGTCCGTTTTTTTTTTCCATACTGGGGATTGAGGGCCAGGAATGGTGGTGCATACCTGTAATCCCAGACCTTGGGAGGCTGAGGTGGGACAATCAACATGAGTCAAGGCCAACCTAAACTACATAGTGAGACCAGAAAACCAAAACCAAAACATACTGAGGATTTAACCCAGGGGCTCACACATGCTGAGCATGTGCTCTACCCCTGAGCTATACCCTCCAACCCATGTCTCTGGTTTTCAAGAAACTTTTACTTTGGGGTCTTTCATGCCCCAGAGTTCTCAAGCAATAGGAATACACACAAAACTTGCCCATCTTCTTGGTACGGAGAAGAATCTTCAACAAATTATCACCTGGGTCAATAATTGAACAATGGATTGCTGGGATTCATTGGTCTCTTGGAGGTGGGGTGGGGAACAGCAAGGGGATTTAGAAAATAGAGACAAGAGCTGAGGTCAGGTAGAGGCCTCTTACAGGATGGGAAAGAGGACTGAACAACAACAGTAGAGGCATTTATTTATGCTTTTGCAAGGTTAGTATCGGGAGACACAAGGTTGCCTAGCGACTAATGACTGAAATTGTCCAGGCCGGATGTTTTTCTCAAGACTGAAGTAGCTTGACTGCTTTAGGCAGTCTGGCTCTGTCCCGCCCTCACCCATCTGACCAATTTCCAGCTTTAGCCACTCCCAACAATGAACAAGCCCAACTGCTAGCCCAAGAGCTTTTGCAGGTCTGTTTAAACTTCACCACATCCCTCTCAAGGAGGTAACTGATATGCAGAGGTTAAAACTTGTCACCCAGGTCACCTTTCAGGGTGGGGCCAGAACTCTCTGACTCTGAAACCAGTGTTCTTATATGCACTATAGGATGTGTGCCATGTGGATAGCCGTCTTTGAACATCTTGCATCCTCAATGCTGTTTGTTGTGGTTTGAAGCCAAAAGGCTCACGTGTTAAAAGGTAGGGCTTTTGAAAGCTGATTGAATCCAAAGGGCTCTAACTTCAGGGCTCCAACTCCACGGATGGATTAACCCATTGATGGGTTGATAGCTTGATTACATTATTGACAGGTTTTGGAAATTTAGGAATTAGCATCTAATTGAAGGGAGTGGGGGTGCTGGGGATATTTAGCTCAGGGGCACAGCGCCTGCCTGACAAGCACAAGGTCGTGAGTTCAATTCCTGATGTGTGGGGGGGAACGAAGGGAGTGGGTCATGCAGATGTGACTGCCTAACCTTCTCTATTTTCCAGACTGTCAGCCTTTCTCTCCAGGTCTCCTTTGAGATTCTCATTCATGTGCTATGTAGTTAGGTCTAAAGTGGTTGCATCTGTACTGAACACAGACTTTTTTCCTTGCTATTATTTCCTAAACAATACAGTATAACATTTTACATCCTATCAAGCATTATAATTATTGGAAAGATGATTTAAAGCAAATGGGAGGATGTCCATGGCTTATGTTAAATACTGTAGCACTTTTTTTCTGTTGTCTTTTTTGAGACAGGGTCTCACTATCTAGTTCATGCTGGCCTCCAACTCACTTATGTAGCCCAGGCTGGCCTCAAACTCGCAATGATTTTCCTGTCTGAGCCTCCCAAGTGCTGGGATTACTGACTTGCACCACCATGCCCAGCATCTCAGCACTTTAAAGGACTTCAGCATCATGCATTTTGCTATCCTCAAGGGATTCTGGAACTGATCCCTCTTGAATATTTTAGTTTGTTTGGTTTTTGAGACAGTCTTGCTATGTAAGTCAGGTTGGCCTTGAACTCACTGTGTAGCCCAGGCTGGCCTTGAACTTAGGCAATCCTCCTGCCTGACCCTCTTGGATATTGTGTGGTGACTGTATAAGCTAACAGCTGTTCACAGGGTGTGCTCCCAGTGCTTAGCACACAGGCTAGCACTGAGTAGGTGCTGTGTAAGTAAGCAGTGACTGACTGAAGGAACAAGCTCTGGACACACTAGGGTTAACTCCCACAGGCAGGGCTTGTGCTGGACAAGCACACCTGGGACTTGGCAGTCCTGCCTCCAGAAAGCTCTGGAACCCGATGCAGAATTTCATCAAGCACACCTGATCTGTACTTGGTGCAGCTCCACCAAGACAGGAAACATTGGATGGCAGAGAGTGAGGACCCCTAGCTAGAGCAGCTTCTTAAACTCTTAGAAGACACAGCAACCCTCCTTGTAAAGCCGGCGTCCTTAAAACACTCTTCCTTCAATTGCCCTTGAACTCACAATTGTCCAAATCTATGTGGTCTGATAAGATAGCACTAAGTCACATGTGGCCAGTGAGCACTCTAAATGAGGTTGGTGGTCTCAGTTGAGATGTGCCATAAATTAAATATATACTATACCAGATTTCAAGGACTTAGCTTTAGGGAAAATTTTATTAATAATTGAATTTATTACTAACATGTGTTTCCCCTGCTTCTTTTCATTCTTTATCCAAAATTACATTTGTTGGCAGGCATGGTGGCTCACATCTAGCATCCCAGCACTTGGGAGGCTGAGGTAGGAGGATCACTATGAATCCGAGACCAGCCTGGCCTACAAAGAGAGCTTACAGCCAGCCTGAACTGCATAGCAAAAACCTGTCTCAAAAAACAAAAAAAGGAAAAATGAAATTACTGTACATATGTGGCTCCCATTGCTTCACTGGATGGCACAGTTCTAAATGACAGAACTCTGTAAGAACTCTCATTCTCTCATTTGCTTTGTTTGGAGCTATGTGCTCAGCTTGGAGAGAAGCCCATCACAGAGTGACTGTTCCATCAATATCTGATGTGCGAATTAATAGAATTTACTATCTATATACTTGTACATGATCCTTCTGAAGTCAGAAACTTTCCTATTCATCCTCATAGCTCTATTCTCAGCACAGTGCCTAATATCTCCTTTCTTTTTCTTTTATGAACAAATATACCTCTGCACTGCCCAGCTTTCCATTCTGCTGGGCTGATTCTGCCATGTAATCTCCCATCAGCTGCTTCACAAAGGTCAGGTATCAGGCAATGGTTTCCTGGAAAGATCGTGGCTCTTCTTGACATTAATCCTGGTTCTTGGCCACTTTGGTGTAATACCTTCTCCGATTTCCTCGAGCTCTGGAAACCTGGGATGACTTCTGCTTCAGACAATAGAGAGAAAAGGACACTTAATATGTGGGTGTTGGCTGAAACATAGCTACTGTTCCCAGTACATGTCAAGTTCACAGGTTCAACAGCAAGACTGCTGATTTGGATGAGAAATATTTTAGGAAGACTGAATAATAGACAATAATTTGAAGCAGATGGAAAGACTAGTCAAATATCCTAATTTCTAGTTTCCAAGTACAAATAAGCATCTGACAGCCAGGTACGCTCATGCTTTTTATGAAATCAGCCTGGAACATGGTTCATTAGCTCATATGCCAGGAAATGGAACACTGACTGTGCCATTCATTAGGTGTGAGACAGGTCCCTTCATTTCTCTAAGCCTTGGCTTCCTTAGTTGTAAAATGAGGGATAATTAAATCTACCCACTGGGCTGTTGTGAAGATTAAATGAGGTAATTATATATAATATGCATTTAATATAGTGCATGGTATTTAATAAAGTTCAGTCTGTATTAATGATTAACACTAGCCCCACAGAGCTATCTGCAAATTAGCAAATAAGAAAGTATGCGGTGTCACTTTAACAGATGAGTCTGTCATAATGACATTTGTGTTCTTCATTTTAACTGTCAACAATCTATATATGCTCCTCAGATAAAAAATAGCTGGCATTTATTGTGCACTTAGCATGAGGCAGGTACTGTGTCACGCATTTTACGTGCGTCATCTTATTTAATCATTGCTATTTGAGTAAGTGCTAGTCTGTGGTGAGATTGCAAAGCCAGAAAGTGAGGTTCCAAGAGGCAAAAGAACATGCTTTGGGCCCCACAGCAAGTCAGTGACTCTTTATTTCATTAGGTAGCTTCCTAATGCAGGCTGAATTTGGCACCCAGGGAATGGCAGATGTGCCCATAGTGGCAGAGGGACCTGCATGAGCGATTCCTGTGCACACCTAGGTGTCAGGCACTCTGCTGTATGTGTTTGGGCAGTAATGAGCACACTCACTGCTTACTTTAGTAATGGTGATAATACTTTAGTGATAGTGAACATAAGGTCTCATTAAAACAAACAAAACTGAGAATTTTGGTCATGTGGCCATGCCTTATAAAAATGCAGAGAAGTCTGAAGCCCTAGGCCTTGTGGCAAGTCTGAAAGCTGCCCACAGCCAGACCTTGTGGAGCACAAACACGATTTGGAAATTAGAGCATCACTCCCTACCTGTAAGACTTTTACAGATAGGGAATAAAATTCTCTCACCTATGACAGGATCTGAATACACTGCACCCCAGGGTACAGCTGCTAGGACTCAATTAGTAGGTCTTTTCTTATTTCTGTTCCTGTAGCTAAGCTACTGGGCTCTTAACATATGCAGACCTCCCCAGGGATTTGCTTAGTCTTGAACTGAAGTCATGGACTATCAATGATCTTGGCCTATTGGTGGCTGCCCTTGGGTCACCGTGCTTCCCTAGTCCACTGAGCTGTGGTTGGGGAGCCAGAGCTGGTAGGTGTGGACGTTGGCCTCATAATACACACTCAGCCTGGTGCTGACTTGGTGTCCAAAAAAAGAGTTTACTATCTCTAACAGGTGTACACATAAACTTTTGGGATAACCACCAGGCATACGGTTTAATACCTGAATGCAGGCAGGCAGAGAGCCACAAAGCTATCTGCCCCAAAGAGAAGTGTGTCCCATATATATAAATAAAAAGAAGGCAGGGGACATTAAAACAAAGTTCTCTGACAGTCTTGCACCTCAGTGGGTAAAGTCCTTGAAGTGTCTGGTGTAAATTTTAGTGTGTTCCTAGAGGTCCCCAGGGACCTGCAAAATTCTTTGTCCCATCTTATCTCCTTCACATCTTGTGCTTGCTGATGACAGCCTCAGGCGCTGAGCTGAATTCTCTGCAGAGAGTAGTGCTTCTGCTGGCAAGTAGGCTGGTGGCTGGGAGAGTCAGGTCCAGTTGGAGCCTTACATTTCTGTCTTTTGGTTATTATGAAAAAGAAAAAAGAAAAAGAAAAGAAAGAAGGAAATGGGTGCCACTTTTTATGACTTTTTCCTGTGTGACACTTGGGCTCAATGGGCAACCTGCTGAGAAGGAAAACCTTGGGGAACTGCTTCATATCGGACTGAGAAGAGCAGCAGTTGTCAATCAGTGATGGTTTGGATGTGGTCTTATAAGAATTGTGATAGGAGTCTGAAAAGACAGGCCCCAAACAAGAGGAGGAGGATTACACAAATCAACGGTCCTGCTAAGGGAAGGAGCCATGAGCCCTATCCTAAGGCCTTAATCCAAGAGTAGGACATATGCTGTCTAATTTCTGAGGCCCTTTTAGTCAGCTTTTTAGCTATATCCAATAGTATGCCCAATTGATTTGTGTAGAAATAGTGCTCTTTGTCTAGGAAGACACATAGGCCACCTTCCTCAGCCATTAAGAGGTCTGAGCCTCTCCAGTTTTGGAGTTACTGATGCCAGAGAGTCAATCTGTGATTGTGAAGTGACAGTGGTCTCGACTATCTCTTTAAGGTTTTGAGATAGGTCATGAGACAAGGAGTGGTAGTAAGAGAAAGAGACTGTCAGGCCAGCTACCCCTGTTCCCATTGCAGCAGTGATTCCCAGGCCTACAAGGAGAGGAATTAATTGAATCACCCTGTGCTGTTGAACCTGGGCCTTTACTGTGGCAGGCAGGCTCTGGTTTCCTGGGGCTATGTCTATATTTGGGGTAAGATATACCCATGTACAGGTCCCAGTCCAGTTGGTGGGAACGCACAGATAGGTGGAGGTTCCGCTGAGGAAGAAAACATCTTGACTGGGTAAACAAAATTGTCTTTATTATCCCAAACATTTAATGTACCCAACAGAATAGCTCCCATAAGAGGTTGAAAAGGCCCTTTGGTTTGAGGAATCTGAGGAACAGCCACAGTTTGGCTTTTCCAGTGGAGGAAAAACATTTTAGTGTCTATTACCAGCTCCACAGAGGAGTGATTAAAAGTGGGCATGAGGAGGCAGCTGGATTGGGTAGGAGTCTGCGCGCAGGCATTTTATGGATGTGTATCTGCACATGGGAGATGATAGCCAACGCAGAGATGGAGTATTTGTTAAGCAATGGAGCAGTGACAATCTGGGAGGGGCTGAGAAGTGAACAGGTTGTCTGATAGGGGGGTTTTGGGTCATTTGGAGATCAACATGACCAGTGGAGGCTAATATGATTAGTGTGAAATTACACTGGTGGGGAGAGAGGTGTTCAAGCAGTGACCTGGAGGATGTATTGTGCTAGATGCAAAGGGGAGCCTGAAAAGTTAGGTTAGAGGTAGTGGTTATTGGGCCATCCCTGGCCTTATTTGAGTCCTTATAGGAAGTGAGACTTGTTAAGTTTGTAAAAGCTGAGTTGTCTGGGCCAGTGCATTACCTCTCTGAATAACATCAGTGGGGCTGGGGATATAGCTCAGTGGCGTAAGTGCCTGCCTAGCAAGCGCAAGGTCATGCATTCGATCCCTGGTACTGCCAAAAAAAAAAGAAAGATGAATAAAATCAGTGAAGGGAAAACCCCAGGGAAAAAAGGAAGGCCACGTTTCCCAGAGGCCAGTATATGTAAACAGAAACCCCCCTTGTATGTGGGGATGATAAGTGAGATTTGTGTTGAGTCCATACCTGTGGCAGAATGGCTGTGGCCTAATAAGTAGCAGCAGACATGGAAACACAGTGCCAACAGTCCTTAGCCAGGGAGAGCTGGGCCAGTTAAGTAAGGAGTGGGTAAGCTGTACAGATAGTAGGGGATTGGCAGAGAGACTGGTGGAAGAGTCTCTGTGCAAGGTAGGAGGATTGTACTGGTTAATGAGACTGTGAACATAGGAAGTGATTCCACCCTGGAGGCAGGAAGCAACGGAGTTGTAGTGCTAACAAAATGCAGAATAGGACCCACAAAAAAAGGCATGGTGAAAACGGGATATCTGAAGTCTGCCTTATCTATCATAGGCCTCCCTATTGATCACCAGACGGGAGGAAGGCAAGAAAGAAGGAAAATGGGGAGAAATCACACAGTGTACCTTGGTGAAAGAGATCTTTTACCCAGTTGTAGAAAGACTGGGGAGTAGAACCCTGAGGGTGAAACCAGGTCAAATCAACATAAACCCTTTGCATAAAATAGATGAAAGGACAGGATACACAGGGGCAGGACATTTGGGTGTTGTTTGGGGATTGTGGTCAGCCCATGAGGGAGATTATTTGTTGCGAACTGTCAGGTAGACTCAGCTTTATGTGAGAGCCACAAATCCACCATGGAAGTTCTTGTAAATGGACCTCCTGGAGCTGTTGGAGTGCTACAGGTGACTCTGAAAGGTCCCTTCCAGTTTTCCTGCAGGGGCCAGGGCTTTAAATTTTGAATTAAAACCAATTTGTTAGCCAGGTTGTCATCATATGGGCAGGTGTCGGGAGAAGGCAGAAGGTTAGCAGCATATGGTTTTTGTTGGTTTTTTTTTTGGACCTGTTGTAAAACTGGCAGATAATCCCCGATAGGCCTTGTCTCTGGCCTGAGGTTTGGCCCAGGAAGAAAGGTGTGTCTGTATAAAAGTTTAAATGGACTATATCCATTAGGCTCTCTAGGAATACAGCAAACTCTTAAAAGAGCAACTGGGAGGAAAGGACCTAGTCTTTGTGTAGCTGGAGTGTTAGTTTAGTAAGATGGGCTTTAAGAAAACTGTTAGCTCACTCTATCTACTTTATGCAAGGACTGAGATCCACAGGGAGTATGTAAATTCCACTGGATCCCTAATGACTTAGACACTTCTTGTATAACCCAATTTATACAGGCTGGGCCATTATCTGATTGAATGGAAATAGGGAGGCAGAATAGGGGGATTATGTCAGTTAGGAGAAAATTAGTGAATGCTGAACTGGAAGGAGAAGCCTCTACCCAACCAGTGAAGGTGTTGACCCAGACTAAAAGATACTCTGACTTTGCACCCATGACATGTGGGTGAAGTCAATCTGCCAGTCCTGGGTTGGGGAGAATCCCTGTACGTGGTGTATGGGAAAAGGAGGGGGCCTCAGGAAACCCTGGGATGTAGTTACCTGGTAGTTACACTGAGCTGTAATAGTCTTAAGAAGGGTCTTCCAGTAAGGAAAGCAGATAAGAGGCTCAAGTGGAAGGGCTAGAGGTTTTAACCTACATGAAAATTATCATGAAGACATACAAGGAGAGTGTGGGCCTGTGAGTCTGGGAGGAAGAATCTTTCTTTATCTAGGAACCACCCCTCCTTTGTGTTGGGTGTTGACACTCAGAGGGGGACTGGGGGGAGCAGGAAAGGGCAAAGTATCTCCCTTTTGTAGCTTCATGGGAGAGATTAACTGCTTCCTTTGTGGTTTTATCGGCAAAAGCATTTCCAGCAGCTATGGGATCTGAGAGTCTTTGGTGTCCCCTGCATGAAGTACAGAAGCCCATGTTGGTGGAAGGGCTGCCTAGAGAAGGGCCTTAATGTATGAAGCATTGGTGATTGAGGATCCCCCAGAGGTGAGGAATCCTCTCTCTGCCCATATGCAGCGTGGTTATGAAGTATGTGAAATGCATACTTGGAATCTGTGTAGATTCCTATAACCCTTTTAAACTGTAACCCTTTGGCCAGCACAGGTGATGGGTCAGAGCAGTCAGTTTAGCCTGTTGAGAGGTAGTGGATGAGGGAAGAGCTGCAGCTTTTATAAGAGAGTCACAGGAGACAACTGCGTATCCTGCCTTAGCCAGCTGTGTGCAAGAAGCCCTACCAGGAACTCCCATTGATAAACCAAGTATGAGCAGGGGTCCGCAAGGGGAAAGCTGAGACATGAGGAAAGGGTGAGGTTGTGAAGTGGATGAGAGACAGACGGTTGTGTGGAACTGGCATCTCAGAAGGAGACAGAATGGGTATGAGATGAGAGGCAGGATCTAAGTCAGGACCCAAGGCAACAGTTACTGTAGGGGTTTCTATAAAAAGTGCATACAACTGTAAGATATGAGAAGCAGAGAAGATGAGAGAGATGTGATGAGGATATGAGATTCTACAGGTTATGAGAGGAGTGTAGTGTGAGTGGCACATGTCTAGTAATTTTTAGAGCACAAAAACTGCTGCAGCAGCCTCTCGAAAACAGCCTGGCCAGCCTAAGACCGTGAGATTGAGTTCTTTAGATAGGAAAACAACTGGGCGTGGGCTTGGCACCTGGGCCAAAATGGCAACCATACAACCACCATGCTCTAGGGTATATAACCAGAAAGGCTGACTACAGTATAGCAAAGCCAGGGCTGGAGCTGTTCTTGGAATTTTTTAGGGTTTGGAAAGGTGAGGAAAGTTTTTAGGATCTAAAGGTTTGGTTGGGTCCCTTTTGTAAGCTTATGTAAGGGTTTGGCAACAAGGGCAAAGCCAGGAATCCAGAGAGGGAAATATCCCACCACCCTAAAGAAGGAGAGAAGTTCCCATTTTATGGAGGGGAGCGGGATCTGAGAAATTAATTGGACAGAGTCAGGAGGAAGGGCTCGAGTGTGTTTGTGTAGAATAACACCCAGCTAGGTGACAGATGGAGAGGAGATTTGAGCCTGGGACAGAGATACATGGTAGCCCTTTGTGTCTATGTGTTGTAGGAGAGCATCCGGTCTAGAGGATTCATAAAAGGGGCTGCAGAGGAGGATATCATCTGTATACTGTATGAGTAGGAATCAGGTGGAAGGAGAGCAAATCACAGGCAAGGGCCTGACCAAAATGGTGGGGGCTGTCTATGAAGCCCTGCGGCAGGACAGCCCAGGTCAGCTGTTGGGACTGCTATGGGTTTTGAGGGCCTGTCTTCAGTTTCTGTAACTGTTTTCGAATATTTAGGCAGCTGGAGTAATAAAATGCATCTTTAAAATCAGTTACCTTTTTGGGCCTGCTGGGTCTAGGGCGAAATAATGCCTGAGGCCAGCAGCCAGGGAGGATACAACCTGAGCTGGATTTTTATCTTTTGTCTGGGTGGTTTCCTTAAGTCTGTCATAATTATCTGCCTTGTGTGCTGCTTTAAGGAGGCTCTCAACCAAACAAGTGATCAAACAAGTGATCACAGAGTTACAGCTCCTTTGAGCAGTGCATTATCCATTCTTGTCTAGATGATTAAAGTCCCAGTTTGGGTTAGCCTGGAGGATGGCTGCAGAAGATTCATTTCAAGGTGTGTGTGGTCATCCACAGCTAGATCTCAAACATGCTCCTGTTCCTCAGGGTGAGAGGGTAGAAGAAAGAAGAATATTTAGGTCATCCCAGGTGAGATCCTAGACCTTGAGAGGTATTGAAATTCCTGAATATATTTGGTGGGATTGACATGAAGGGAACCCAGATGCTAATTTGAGGCAGATTGGAAAGGGAGAAGGGAACATGAACCCAAACAATTCCCTCAGCTCCTGCCACCTCCTGAAGTGGAAATTGGGAGAAGGAGTTGGGAAAAGTGCACCAAACTGTAGTCCCATTCAAGTATGCGGCAAAGTTAGAAGGTAAGGAGGAGCCCTTGATTCAGAGGGAAGCACCAGATCGGGGGACTGACAGATGGGACAAGTTCCTGATTGACTGGAATCCAGAGGGAGTGGCGCAGCTGCAGGGACTATGGCGGGAGTGCCATCAGAGGACTGGTGGTGGAGGGGCGCTTGAGGAGTTGCTCAGCTGGAGGGGGCAAAGGATGCCAAGGAAATGCCAAGGGTCCTTGGTCAGGGGAGAATCAGCACAGGAGGAAAGTGGAGTGGGCTTGGATGGAAAGGAAAGGAAGAGAATTTGGAGGGATCACATGAGGAACACAGAGTAGAAATACTTCCAAGTGTAAGGAAGACCTGGACAAAAGCCACTTCAGACCATTTCTATGTATGGGAGTAATTGTCCAGATCTCAAAAAATGGAAATATCAAAAGTACCATGAACAGGCCACCGAGATTTATTGTCCAGCTCCTAGTGTGGCCACGCCATGTTACAGAAATAAATGAGCCATTTAGGTTTCAGGTCAGGAGACAGAGAGGTTTGAAGTTACACAGAAGACAAGCAAGAGGGGACAGGTGGGGAACTGAGGATGGACAGTTTCCCGCTGGAGTACAGAGAGAGTAAGAGAGAGCAGCTGAGTCTCCAGACGGGACCCCAGGCTGCACAATGTGTAGGACTGAGCAAGGCAATGAGTAAGGCAATCGTCCGCATTGGTCAGATGCTAAAGGGAAGCAGCCTTCCCAGGAGTGCTTTCAGCGCTGGAGTTTAAAAAGCACAAAAAGCAGGGGCAAGCCTGGGTGAACCTCTCTGTCACTCTATGGGGAGGAAAAGAAAGACAGGCAAGAGGGAAAAAAGAGGAGAGAGAAGAGGGTGTGTGTGGGGGTGTGAAATACCCATTGAGATCTGGCATGGCACAAGTGGCAGGAGCTGTAGAAGCTGAGGTCTGAGGGAGCTATGTCACCGAGTGGTCTCAGCCTAGGGGAGAAGCCTCAGGAGAGGACTTATGTTCCCCTCAGAGAGGGAACTAGCCCTCTCTGTCTCTCGGGTCTGAACACCAGGCTTTTGTGATAGCAACCAGGCATATGGTTTAATACCTGGGTGCAGGCAGGCAGAAAGCCACAAAGCTATCTGCCCGAAAGAGAAGTGTGTCTCTTTTATTTGAATGGAAAGAAGGCAGGGGACATTAAAACAAAGTTCTCTGGCAGTCTTGCACCTCAGTGGGCAAGTCCTCCAGGGTGTCTCCAGATGTCCCCAGGACCTGCAAAAATTCCTTGCCCTATCTTATCTCCTCTACAACATCCTGTGCTTGCTGCTGCTGCTGCTGCTGCCGCCAGCCTCAGGTGCTGAGCTGAATTCCCTGTAGAGAGAGCAGTGCTTCTGATAGCAAGCAGGCTGGAGGCTAGGGGAGTCAGGCGGGGTTGGAGCCTTACACTATCCTTCCTGGTCCACACTGTGACGGTGACTTGCCCAGGCTGTAGTAAATACCCAGAGGTGAGAGTCCCTCCTTCAGTGCACAACTCTGAGGTGAGGCCTTTGCAAAATGCCACTCCCTCACTTGCTCCCACTTCCTGTTTTTGTTTTTTTTTTTTTTTTGGTTTTTCTCCTGTACCAGGAATTGAAATCACAATCTTGCACTTGCCAGGTAGGCGCTGTGCCACTGAGCTAAATCCCCAGCCCCTCACTTCCTGTCTTGTTTCCCTGCTTTATATCTCTCTAGTATACCAGAGATTTTGTACTTCATTTTGTTTATGGTATATCCCTGTCCTCTAAAAGAATGCTATAAAAGCAGGCATTTGTTCTTCTGCCTGTTTTGTCTGCCAGTTCCCAGACCTGCAGCAGCAGGTAACTGACACTTGGTGGGGATGAGAAGAGGCGTGGAGAGTGCAGTCTGGCTGGAAGGACAGCCAAGGAAGCTTCCCGAAGGAGGTGACGAAGCTGAGCCAGCAGTTTGAAATGCGGCGCATCTTCCGGCACACAGCCGGGAAATAACACTTTTAGGGCCCATGAGTAGTAGAGTGCTGGGGCTTGGGGGTGTTGCGAGGAGGGCGGTATGAGGAGGGCCACAGGCAGAGCGAGCAGGAACTGGCCTGTGCCCTCTGGAGGGTGAGGCCCAGGTGGGCAAGAGTGGCTAAGGGCAGACAAAAGGCCTACGAGACCTTGCCAGCAATGAGGACCAGTTAGTTTCAAAGAAACAAGGTAATGATGGAAAAGAGCTGTATTTCACTGGGTACTTCCTGTTTGTGCCAAGTACTCCAATATGTTCCTTCACACGTCACCACGAGGATGCATGGAAATAGGGCCAGAAATATGTGAACTTTCCACAAACTAGCCAGTCTGGCTTATTAGGAAAGCAATTTTGTCCTTTTCTGTAGGCTGGGCCACAGCACCTAAGTGATCATGGCCTGACAGCCAAGGCTCCCATGCCCTACTCCTCTCCACCACCAGAGTAAGCTCCGCTCATCCTTCCTGCCCAGTGCTCCATTCCGGTCCTCTCTTGCACAGGTTAACAGGGCATGAGGAAGCCTGGACTGTAGGACTATGATAGTGGGGTAAAAAAACTGAGATAGAAACAGAGCCCTGAGGGGCTGGGAATTTAGCTCAGCGGCACAGCGCCTGCCTGGCAAGTGCGAGGTCCTGAGTTCAATTCCCGGTAATGGAAAAAAAAAAACTTTAAAAAAAAAGAAAAGAAACAAAGCCTTGAGAGGAGGGAGGTAGACATTGCTCTCAATTGCTACTGGAAAGCACAGGTTAATAAGGCATGAAGGACCCCAGGGTGTAGGACTGAGATAGTGGTTGGGAAACAAGAAAACTGAGAGTGAGAGTGAAAGTGAGAGCGAGAGAGACAGAGAGAGACAGAGAGAGACAGAGAGAGAGAGAGAGATACTAAAGGGAAAGGAAGTAGCCACTGTTCTCAATAGCTGATAGGAAGCTCAACAGCTGATATCCCAAGAAAGGGGACGGTCAGCCTTTAAGGAAAGAGATGGCTGCCAATGCCACAGCACCAAGCAACAGAAACAGAGCAGAGGGGGCCATACTGGAGAAATGTGTTCCCATCTCTCACTGAAGGACAAGAGCCATAGTTACTTGAAACTGGCCAGAGAAGGCTTGAGGTGAGGTGGGGGAGGTCTTCCAGAAAGCACATGGGAAATGGTACAGTCTCTGGGTAGGAATTAAGGTGGCGATGTAGAAGTAAGGACCTCTCCCAGAAGTGGCTGGCAGAATGGACTCTTCAGCCCCTGGAAAGGCTTCCTTCTCACTTTTATGGGGTCTCACAGCCTGGTTCCCACCTCAGTCTCAGTTACAGTGAATTTCAATTGAAGGAATGGACCAACTGAGTCTCTTCTTCCTATCATAGCCTTGCGGAGAGTCACTCTGTATGGACTACACCTGATCAAGGGGGACAGGGTAAGTATACATGCCCACAAATGGTAATACACACACACACTGGGCACATCCTTGCAATCATTGCTAATGAACATACTGGCCAAAGACCAAATATACCTGGGGTAGCAGAAACCCCAAGCCCTGGCACTGCCTACTACATTGCTAGAGTTCTCCAAGGGGAGCTGCTCTTTATCCACCTCACTCCTACTTTTGCTCAAAACCATTTTCCTAAATTCACTGTGCTTTTGCCATCAAGCTCAGAACACACCTGTCTTCCCTGAGGGCTTAAGTCCATCTCCATCTCTTCATCCACCCCATTATCATCTTCTCTTCCAAATCCCTGGCCCAAATGTTTCTCAGCCAAGTTAGTTTTAACAGTTCCCTTTGCTCCTAAGCCTGAGCACCCAGATGCACATGGGATTGCTCAACCACCAGTTCAAATCCTGCATCCCATCTTATATCTCCTAGGTCAATCCTTAGGAGTATGCTAAGTGGGAATTCTCAGTGAGTGAAAACTGGAAGATTCGCCCTGTGACTACCTTCTCTATACCCCGCCTACCTGGTACACATAAGTATAAGGTCTCCACCTCTGCACTCCAAGTCCCCAAAGTACTGGGCTTCCCCTCTGCTTGCTCGTGCAGAGTAAAAACATGCTCCGTTTTGTGCCAAGGACACTGCACTAAGGTCTGGAATGTGTCGTGTAATGATGTCATTCTTCACTCTTCCACTCCAGTGTTCATGATCAACATTACAACCAGCTAAGGGAGAAGGTCAGATGAGGCCCATGGCCTGGCTGGGGATTTCCACCTCAGAAACACGGGCAGACTTAGCCTCTTGGCAGTAACTCACCATGAGGAGAGCCCTTCAGGGGAGTAGGAACCCCATGTCATCATTCTGATATTCTTTCAGCAAACTCCAGATCCAGGGCAGCAACCCTAAGGTGATAAGGTGGTCAAAGAGTGAAAGTTATTACAAGTACTTGGTCTCCAATGTCACCTCACCTTTTTCAAGCTGCCACCAATGAGAATGCTCCCAAGTAATCATGTCTGAATTGCCAGGTGTTTTTCACAACAAATTTGTCTTAAAAAAGGAATCTCAATGCACAGAGAAAACAGTTAAAATGGAACCGTCTTAACATATTCACCACAGGGTCATAATTCATACATCTTGCTGCTGGTAGGCTCTGAACCACCAGTGGTACAAGCCAGCAAAAACCCACTACGTGGCCAGGTGTGATGCATTCCACTACAGTCCCAGCACTGGACAGGCTGAGGTGAGACAACTGCTAAAGTCTAGTCTGAGACCAGCCTGGGCAATGAGCAAGACCCCCATCTCAAAAAATACATACAGAAATGGGTAGAAACTCTAAAACAACTTCTTGCAGGGAAACTGAGCAGATATGTAATTGGCAGAGAGACACCTCAAGAGTTCCACTCTCAGAGCTCCGCCCACCGAGGTCCCAAAGGACCACCCCAGCAGCCATCCCTCCATGCTGTCATTACTGGCCTGCCCACCTGTCAACCCAGCAGGACTGGGAGCTCTTGCTCACCTCAGTCTCAAAGTCCTCCACATACCCGTTCCCCAGAATTCCAAAGCCTGCCCAGACCCAACACTTCCAAAAGGCCACTTGTCTCTGAAAATTTTGTGGTAATGACTGTGTGTCACCCCACAGTTCACTTACTCACTATGTATAACTTATCCTGGCTCCTCCCACCTCCTAAATGTAACTAAAGCTTCATGTGTACATAGTCTGGTCTCTGAGAATGATAGACAAAGCTGAGCCGGGCCAAGACAAAATGTCGCCCATCACTGACCCTCACACAGCAGCCCCCAAGACTCCTGAGACTGGAATGTGTTGGCAGGAAAGAAATGTATGAAAGTGCCAGCATTTGAAAGGGACAGGCTGGACCCTCCAAACACGGGAAACGGCTTTCAGTTCTTCTCCCTGCATAATTGACGACCAGGGCACAGGCAGCCCACGGTCACTTTAGAATGCAGGTGCACACACCAGTGAACGGCCCTGGAAGAGACGCTGGTGCCAGTGGCCTGTGGAATGGGCCCACTCCAGGGAAACAGCGCAGCTAAGCACAGGACTCCGATAGTGGCAAAATCCCCAAAGAACCTATTTGCCACATGGAATCAAAAAGAAGTCAACTTGGGCAGAAACTCTGGAAAAATATTTATCACTTTATTTTTCAAATGAAGAAAACTAGGTTGAGCTGGTCACTGACTGAGATAGCAGCAGAAGGGGACCCCCACCCCCCATGCCCAGATTCACCTATTCTGCATTATAACATGCTGCTGCTGACCTCCAGGCAAGGAGGGCAGTCAGCTGGGAGACTCTTACTGTCCAAGTGAGACTCTGGAGCTTTTACTTTTACAGCACCCACTAAAGACTAGTGTGATGATTGGGATCCAAAATGCTCCCCGAAAGGCTTACTGCATTAAAAGCTTGGTTGCCAGCTGATGGGCTTTTGGGAAGGAACTGTATCATCAAGTGGATTGATCCACTAATAAATTAATGAGCTGAATGGACTTGTCAGGAGCCTAATTGGATGAAATAGATCACTGGGAGCCTGCTTGGAAGGGTATACGTTGTGCCTTATCCCTTTCTGTCTGGCTTTTTCTCTATCTCTGCTTCTCGGCTACAATGATGTAAGCAGCTTTCCTTCACCATGCCATCAGCCATGACAGTTCTGCCTCACCATAAGCCTAAAGCAATGAAGCTAGCAGACCATGGAGTGAAACTTCTGAAACACTGAGCCAAAATAATCTCCACATTTAAGTAGTTTTTCTCAGGTATTCTGTCACAGCAGCAGAAAGCTAACTAACACAGCATGCGAAGGGTCAGATGTGATCTAGGCTGTCTGGGTTGGCAGATTTGCCAGCCTCATCTCACCTCTTCCGTCACTCAAAGCCCCTGGGAACATGCACAGGACTATTTTAGATGCAAGGGATCAGTGGTCCAGAGATCTTACCTCAATGACATGGGGGTCTAAGATGTTCCTGACATGAAAACTCCTATGACACCTGCAAAAGACGGGGAGCACTAGTGAACATCCAGCATCATGGGCATGAAAACCACCAGGAAAGGGCTTGGCACAGTAGTTACCAGACAGAAAGCATTTCAAACATGGTGGCCACTATTTCCTAAATAAACACAATATTTCCTTGTGAAAAATAAGAGTTAACCAAGTGAATGGTCTGCATCAGGGTAGCCAATACTGACTAATACAAAACACAGATTGGCTGAGTGGCAGTGACTGCTGGCCACCAAGGAGAACTTTAAGCAACACACAAAATCAAGCAGCAGGAAGTGAAAGCCCCAATAACAGTAATGAACACATAGCAGCCCCAAAGTCCAAGATACATGATGAGAACCAAGAGTGTGGGAAAGCTCCTAGAAATGGAAGGCAAGCATGCAGCCTTCCAAACATAGGACAATTCTTTCCACATTTCCTCTGCCTGCACCACCAATGACCAGGACATGGGTGCCCCCTGATCACTTACGAATGCAGGGGCAAAGAGGATGGGGGGGATTGCTGTAAAAGGAGGGAAATGGCAGAAGCTTTGAGCAGCCAACCCAGCTAAACACAAGGACCCAACAACTGTTTCTAACCCTACAAACATTCTTTCAACATGGCCAGACAGGGGAGGCAAAGACACCTCTACAGAAAACCGATGAAAAGTTCCGTGTGCTCATGCTTGTAATCCTATCACTTGGGAGGCTGAGGGAGGAGGACTGCTGTGATTCGAGGCCAGACTGGGCTAGTGAGTTCAAGGCCAACCTGAACTACATAGCAAGACCCTGGCTCAAAAAAACCAAAGGCAAGTAAGTTAGCTAGCTAGCTAATAGAGTTCTTGTGTTGTAGAAGTCAGGGAGTTGTGACCCAAAGAAAAACTGTGTCATCATATTTCTGCTTTCTAGTGGATGAAAGTGAGGCTAAGAAAAGGCCCCAGAAGGCCGGGTGTGGTGGTGTACACCTGTAATGCCAGCACTCAGGAGGCTGAGGCAGGAGAATCATTCCGAGTTCGAGACCAGCCTGGGTTACAAAGTGAGCTCAGAGCCGGCCTGAACAAAGTGACTAAGATTTGGGTATGGGTGAGTATGGTGCAAAAATCCTGAGTTTGACTCAGGCATTCTGCCACCAACACACCCAAGGAAGGAGGCGATCCTTACAGATTCCAATCCCAAATCAGCACACCAAAGGGAGCCACATGCATCTCAAATCCCCCAGGGAAGGTACACCTGGGGCCAGGATGATGGTGCCTTCATCTCACTTCCACCTACATCACACCTAGGAAACCTGCAGAAGTCCCCAACCTCCAGAGGACACGTGTCATTTAGATGCACCATGGTCCTGCTGCTTCCTGGCAAGATGGACACCTCTCGTGGCCGGCTACACCAAGTTGTCATTTCTGTAATCAACAAGAAGCCCCGGATAAGCCATTAGAATGTCACTTGGTTGAACCCATCCTGGTATTACATGTGTTTCTGGCACAGTAGCTAGCTGCTTCACAAATGGGCTGCTGTTACTGGTCCCTTCTCACACAGGAAAAAAGCTAACAATGCTGCAGGGGACAACAAAATAGGGAGGACTTTTGAGATCATCTTTTGTGTAAACTTACAAAATTGTAAGACGTTCCAGCTGGGACCTGTACCCTGCCAAAGAACCTCAAATGGATACTTACTGACTGTCCAAGTGCAAAGCTCAAAGAGCGCTGATTGCTATTTGATCATTGCTTCAGATAAAGACTTCTTCAGCCCCCTCCAACAGAGTCTACAGGAAGAGCGATTCTGATAAAAATGCGCAAACCGTTCCTTCACCCCATGAATACTGATTATCTACATGTAACCAGGCACCAGGGTTGAAAACAAGAAAAGCAGTCAGCTCTCTGATCTCAAGATCTTTGCAGTTTCCCTATTTAATAGGAAGTGCAGCACAGAAGCATGAGGGAAGGCGGGGCATGGAGGTGCACACCTGTAATCCCAGCATTCAGGAGGCTGAGGCAGGAGGATCTTTGTGAGTTCCAGACCAGCCTGGGCTACAAAGTGAGGTCAAGGCCAGCCTGAACTGCATAGCCAGACCCTGTCTCAAAAAGACCAAAAAGAAAAAGAAAAAAAAACAAAAACAAAAAAACCAAAAAACCATGAGGGAACTCAGCCAGGATCTGACCTCTGGTCTTTCTGATTCCAAACCCAGACCCTCATGTGCTACAGCAAGCTTCGGTCTGCGCAGGAGCTCTGCCACACAGATCTGTGCTCAGCTACCATCGCCTCTGCGGGTGTCCACTGAACCAGGATCCACAAGGCCCCTAGGCCTCAAAGTGCACTTACCAGGACATCAGGTCCCTGGAGCACGGAAGGCAGGGGGTGCTGGGTGCTGCAGAACCAGCAGCGCCGGTCAAGGGGTAGTTTCCATCAGCCTTCGGGAGGCCGCGAAGCAGAGAGACCTAAGCAGGGGAAAGAGGAGGAAAAGGCTTCAGTTTACAGTCTGGATGCTGTCCCCTTGGGCCCTGGGAGAGTCCTCAATCGAAACCTCAGCCACTCCGTATGGAAAAAGGAGGTTTTAGCCCTGGTCTTGAAAGGCTTTTAGTGAAAACGAGTCAGTCCAGGCACACAGAACGACACTGAGCCCGAACAGACAAGCAAATTCCGGGTTTCGAACGCCCCAAACCCGAGGCCCGCACGCGGGTGTGAAAGACCAGGGGACGTGCGGTCCCCGATCACACGGGGCGTCCTCCCCAGGAGGGAGGGGCGGCTACGACACCGCTCGGGGACGGTCAGCCCGGCGCGGCAGAGGCCCGGGACACGCGAGCCCCGGGAGGCCGAGGCCCCCGGTTAACAGATGCTTCGGTCTCCCCTGCTCTAGGGAGAAACCTCAAGCCTTGGGAGCCTGGCGCAGAGCACGCCCCGAGCGCGCCCCCGCAGCGACTCAGCCGGGTGCCGGGAGTGAAAGCAGCTGGGTACACAGAGCACAACACCCCAGCAAGTCGGCCGCCTCTGGGGAGCTATGGTTGAGCGCAGGCTGCAGCCTAGAGCGCCGCCTCCCGGCCAGGCCAAGCCTGTGCGACTCGCCCTGCAGCGCCCCCTGGGAAAGAGGAGCTGAAATTCTAACCCTCCACTAAGGCTCACCATCCAGGCTTAGCTAAATACAACCAAGCATCTCTCTTTCCGCCCACCATTCTCCCACCCCGTATCCACGCATCCGGTTATCCCGAAAATATTTACGGAGACAGCTTTCTCATTCCTCCAGTTTTCATGCTTCCTATTGGATCGTCCGTCCTTCGACCATCCAAAGTACACCCACCAACCCATCCCTTCATCTTTTCATCAATCTATTCATCTAGATTTCCATCCATCCAGAAAATCTACTGAGCAACTACTTCGCATTAAAGACTGAATTAAATGTTGGAAATATAGTGAAGATAGACATAATTTCTGACTTTATGTAAGTTATATTTTAATGGAACAAACAAGCCGGAAAAATGCAATAATTAAAAATCATGGCTGAGGGGCTCGGGATATAGCTCAGTGGCATAAGCACTTGCTTAGCAAGCACAAGATCGTGAGTTCAATCCCCAGTACCGCAAGAAAAAAAAAATAATCACGGTTGAGCGTGGTGGTGCACACCTCTAATCTCAGCACTGTGGGAGGCTGAGGCAAGAGAATCACAAATCTGAGCAGAGACTGAGCAACTTAGTGAGACCCTTCCCCGAAATCAAAAAGTTTAAAAAGGGCTGAGGATGTAGCTTAGTGCAAAGAGCCTGTATTTGATTCCAGTACTGCCAAAAACAATAAAACAAAAAAAAAAATAAGTGTTACAAAAGAAATGGGCAATGGCGACCTATTTAGCCAAAGTGGATATCAGAGGCTTCTCTGAAGAAACGACATTTAATGTAAAGTTTGATGGAAAAGAGGGAGTAATCATTAAGTGATTATGTTCAAGAGTAAATGTAAAAACTAAAAAATGTGAAGATGTAAATTTAATGGAAGTAGGTCAGGAATGCTTTTCTGCTGGGTGCCATGGCACATGCTTGTAATCCCAGCTACTTGGGAGGCTGAGGCAGGAGGATCACATGTTTGAGACTAGCCTGGGCAATTTAGTAAGTCTTTGTCATAACATAAAAATAAAAAGAGCTGAGGATATAGCTCAGTGGTACAATGCCTCTGGATTCAATTTCTAGGATCACATAAAGCAAAATATTTTTCATAATATATCTGTTGCCACAATGACTTTTATCATTGATACAAAACATACAGCCATGTCAATTAATAACTAATTTTTTTTAGGACATACAATGTTTCAGCCATTTCAGTTCATTTAATCATCATACCAGTTGTTATGGACTGAAAGCTTTTATCTCCCACAAATTCATATGCTGACCCCTTAACCCTGAATGTAGTGATATTAGGTATGGGATGTTTGGGAGCTGATTAGGGTTAGATCAGGTCACAAGGCGGGAATCCTCATGAGTGCTTAGCGTCTTATAAAAGGAGAGTTTGCTTCCTCTTGCCACTTTGAAGTGAAAAGAAAACCATCAGGTCTGTAAAACAGAAAGTTGAACCTCACTAGGTAGCAAATCTACTGGTTCCTTGATCTCAGACTCCCAGTCTCCATAACTATAAGAAATAGTTTTCTATTGTTTCTAAGTCATCCAGCTTATAGTAGTTTGTTATAGCATCTCAAATGGACCAAAATACTCATCCAATACATTAAATATTATAATCCTATTTGTTGATGAGGAAATAAGTACTCAGGAAGTTTAATTAACTTATCCAAGGTCATGCAGTTAATGTGTCAAGAACTACATGGTGTCATGTACGGTGGTGCAGGCCTGCAACTCCAGTTCAAAGCCAGCCTACACTATAAAGGAAGACCTTGTCTCAAACCACCTCCCCATTAAAAAAAAAAATAGAACTGCATGGTCTGAGAGTTAACCTTGCTTACAAGTTGACAAGTTAACCTTTTTAATAAAAACTAACAGAGGATGGTGTGGGACTCGGTGGTCTCTCGGTGGTCCCCAGGAGAAAATGGTGAGAGGATTTAGAAAATAAAGACAAGAGACAATAGCTGGGGTCAGGTGGAGTTACCTCTTGCCTGATGAGCAGGAGGACTGACTTCAATAGTAGGGGCATTTATTTTACACACTTGCAAAGTTAGTATCGTGGGGGGGGTAACATTGCCTGGCGACTAATGACTGTAATTAGTCCAGCAGGATGCCTTTTTCACTACTGAGGTAGCTTGACTGCTTGACCAATAACCAGCTCCCAACAGATGGGAAATTTCTGAGTCAGAGGACTTCATTATTCACAGCAAGAGCAGTACGCAGAGTTTCATGCCCACCTTGGTTCCTCATGTCTCACTAGTCCCCTGGGGACAGTACTGCCCAGAATGGGTTCGTGTATACAGTGTGCAGCAGTGTTACAGGAGATGAACACTGTGAAGGGGGGATTCGTCCCGCTTATGGGGAACAAAAGTAAACTTGGAAAACTTTAGTCTGAGAGGAGCATTTACATTATCCCACAAGGCTGGACACTGCCAAAAAAAATAAGCCCAGCAGCTGCCCAGATAACCAGCAGTTAGGGCCTTGCATTTGTGACATGCCCTGCAAGGACGTGCATAAGGGCTCAGGGCTTGTGGCAGATCATCTCCCAACAGTAGGTTGTCAGAGTCAAAATTCAGGGCCAAAAAGCAATCTAGGAGCCATTAATGGATGCTTACAGTGCATATGATAATAGTACTTAATTTCTATCACTGATCAGAAAAGTTATCTTACAATATATAAGCTACAAGGGTATTTTCATTACGTAATACAGATTAACACAAACCAACAACATTATATTTCAAGGTGAAAGTTTAAGACAACAGACTGTCCAATGTCACATAAACCTGAATAGTCAATGGCAAGGACATCTGACCTTTCTGCACTTCTGTCATTATCAGGATAGGACCCTGCTACAGACCAAATGCTCATGACTCTCCCCAAATTTCCTGGTCAGAATCTAATCCCCAATGTGAAGTATTTGGAATTGGGCCTCTAGGAGATGATTAGGTCACAAGGATGGAGCTCCCACTCGTGGGGTTAGTGCCTTTATGATAAAGGACCCCAGAGTGCTCCCTCGTCCCTTGTGCTGCTCAAGGCACATAATTTTGAAAGTGATCAGCAGCTGGTGCAGGTGTTCTCTGTGTTTTGAGGGCACATCCCTATCCCTGTGAGCCTGGTGCAGTTCAGGCTGGCCTTGAGCTCACTTTGTAGCCCAGGCTGGTCTCGAATTTGCAACGATCCTCCTGCTTCAGCCCCGAGTGCTGGAATTACAGGCATGCGCCACCACGCCCGGCTGCATCCTGATGCTTTTCACATGTAGTGTCTGACTTCTCTTCTGGCCACATTGCCAGGCACTGGGGGCGGCCATAGGCTGTGGTGTTTCCTTGCTTGATTTTTCTGAGCTTAGCCTCTTGGTAGAAAAGAGGCTGTGTGTATTGAGGACCGTTTTTCACCCAGGACAGAGCCAACTACTGTGAGGGATGTCTGAACATCACAGAGCAGGAGCCCCACGCAGGGTGGGCTGTAGGGGGGATTGTCGCTAACGACAGAGTATATGAGTGAGTACAATAGAGGTTAGATAATGACGCCCAGCGCTTTCAAAGGAAGGTGGCTTCTTGGAGGCGATGTGCACTGGGGTGTTTTGGAGGATCCACATAGGAAAGGGCAACAGGAAAGTGTTCGCGGGAGGGAGGAAGAGGAAGACTGTGAAGCTGATGTGGGGAAAGGATTGACGGGCTGGACACATGTCGGTGTGGGGAAAAGTAAAGCATCAGAGGGGATGGTATTGCCACATCTCATTCCATAGTCTGTAATGGATGGCTTTAAAATGTTTATACAAGAGAAGAAAAAGCCAGTTGCTGTGGCATAGCGCTGTGTAATAGCAGTACTCCGGAAGGCTGAGGCAGGAGGAGCTCAAGTTTAATCCCAGCTTGGGCATTTTAGCGAGGTCCTGTCTCAATATTTATTTATTTATTTATTTATTTATTTGGTACCAGGAATGGAACTCAGGACCTTGCACTTGCCAGGCAGGCGCTTGTGCCACTGAGCTACACCCTCAGACCCTGTCTCAATATTAAAAAAAAAAAAAAAAAAAAATAGCCAGGTGTGGTGGCACATGCCTGTAATCCCAGCACTTGGAGGGCTGAGGCAGGAGGACTGCTGTGATTCGAGGCCAGACTGGGCTAGTGAGTTCAAGGCCAACCTGAACTACATAGCGAGACCCTGTCTCAAAAGGACCAAAAAAATAAAAAAACACCAAAAAAACAAAAAAAAAAACCAAAAAACCAAAACAACAAAAACAAAACAAAACAAAAAATCCACCAAAAAAACAAAACACTGAGGCTTTTGCCTCAGTGCAAAAGCCCTGGATTGGGTCCCTATTCAGTCCTTGGATTCAGTCCCTGGAAGAGGGAGAAGAAGACTGACTGTGAGAGGAAGAGGGAGGGGCAGAGGGAAAGGGAGGGGGAGGGGGAGGGGAAGAGGACAGGGAGAAGGAGAGAAAGAGCAAAAAGAAAAATGCTCCCTTTAGTAATGGGAGAAGGGCGCATTTAATTCTGAAATGTAGGAAGTATTTCTTGTGTCCCAGTCTACTCTTGCTTCTAAGGGATTTTTTAAAAAATGAGAAAAGCATAAATGAACTGATAAATGAACTGATACAAATAAAGTAAGAGCAGAAAGTGAAATGGCAGAACACTACATAGCCTGATTTAGGCTGACATAGCCGCACAGTTCCAGGAATGAACAAAGGCACACAGCACAATCAGACCAAAGAGTAATATGTGGAGAACAATGTTATCTCTTCTCTGTAAAATTGATTGATTGATTGATCTTTTTGAGACAGGGTCTCGCTATGCAGTTCAGGCTGGCCTTGAGCTCACTTTGGAGCCCAGGCTGGTCTTGAACTCACAGCGATCCTCCTGCCTCAGCCTCCTGAGTGCTGGGATTACAGGTGTGCCACCACGCCCGGCTTGTAAAATTTAAAGCAGGTAAA